TATTCTGTGGAATAATTGTGTGGAGTGGTTCTGTGGAATTCTTGTGTGGGATAGTTCTGTGGAATAATTGTGTGGAGTTATTCTGTGGAATAATTGTGTGGAATAATTCTGCGGAATAATTGTGTGGAATTTTGTGGAATAATTGTGTGGAATAAATTCTGTGGAATAAATTCTGTGCAGTTATTCTGGGGAATAATTCTGCGGAATTCTGTGGAATAATTCTGTGGAATAAATTCTGCAGAGTTATTCTGAGGAAGAATTCTGCGGAACAATTCTCTGGAATAACTCTGTAGAATAATTCTGTGGAGTTATTCTGAGGAATAATTGTGTGGAGTTATTCTATGGAATAAATTCTGTGGAGTTATTCTGGGGAATAATTCTGAGGAGTTATTCTGGGGAATAATTCTGTGGAGTTATTCTGGGGAATAATTCTGTGGAATAATTCTGTGGAATAAATTCGTAGAAATAAATTCCACTGAGTTATTCTGAGGAATAATTCTATGGAATAAATTCTGTGGAATAAATTCTGTGCAGTTATTCTGGGGAATAATTCTGCGGAATTCTGTGGAATAATTCTGTGGAATAAATTCTGTGGAATTAAGTCTGCGGAACAATTCTGTGGAACAATTCTGTGGAATAAATTCCGCGGAGTTATTGTGAGGAATAATTTTGTGGAATAAATTCTGTGGAGTTATTCTGTGGAATAATTCTGTGGAGTTATTCTGGGGAATAATTCTGAGGAATAATCGTGTGGAATAATTCTCTGGAATAACTCTGTAGAATAATTCTGTGGAGTAATTCTGAGGAATAATTCTGTGGAGTTATTCTGGGGAATAATTCTGAGGAGTTATTCTGGGGAATAATTCTGTGGAGTTATTCTGAGGAATAATTCTGCGGAATAACTCTCTGGAATAACCCTGTAGAATAATTCTGTGGAATAAATTCTGCGGAATAAATTCTGCGGAATCATTCTCTGGAATAACTCTCTGGAATAACTCTGTAGAATAATTCTGTGGAGTTATTCTGAGGAATAATTCTGTGAAGTTATTCTGAGGAATAATTCTGTGGAATAAATTCTGTGGAATTAAGTCTGTGGAACAATTCTGTGGAATAAATTCTGCGGAATAAATTCTGCGGAATCATTCTCTGGAATAACTCTCTGGAATAACTCTGTAGAATAATTCTGTGGAGTAATTCTGAGGAATAATTCTGTGGAGTTATTCTGAGCAATAACTCTCTGGAATAACTCTCTGGAGTAACTCTGAGGAGTAACTCTGAGGGTGCCCATCCCTGCCCCGTGCCCAGGGCCTGATCGCCGCCCACGACCAGTTCAAGTCGACGCTGCCGGACGCGGACAAGGAGCGGGAGGCGATCCTGGGGATCCAGCGCGAGGCGCAGCGGATGGCGGATCTGCACGGGATCCAGCTGCCCGGGAACAACCCCTACACCTCGGTCACGCCGCAGATCATCAACTCCAAGTGGGAGCGGGTACGAGGGGGCCTCCCCTCCCCCCCCTGGGCCTGGCTTTTATCGGCCTTTTCCCCTTTCCCTGCAGCTTTTCCCCTTTTCTGCAGCTTTTTCCCTTTTCCTTCAGCTTTTCCCCTTTCCCTGCAGCTTTGGAGACGATGGGAGGTTGGGATGGAGGAGATGGAGGTGGTGGGATGATGAGATGGTGGAGAGGGTGGGATGGAGATGGAGATGGTGGGGATGGTAGAGATGGAGATGGTGGAGATGGAGGTGGTGGAGAGGGTGGAGATGGAGAGGGTGGAGATGGTGGAGATGGAGAGGGTGGGAGGTTGGGATGGAGGAGATGGTGGAGATGGAGATGGTGGGATGGAGATGGGGATGGTAGGATGGTGGAGATAGTGGGAGGGTGAAGATGGTGGAGATGGAGATGGTGAGGATGGTAGAGATGGAGATGGTGGGAGGTTGGGATGGGGGAGATGGTGGGATGATGAGATGGTGGAGATGGAGATTGAGAGGGTGGAATGGGGGGGAGATTGTAGAAATGGGGGAGATCGGGATGGAGATGGTGGGGACGGTGGAATCACTTCTTGGGCTGCTCCATGCCCTCATTACCCCACCTTGCCAAGCCGTGGGAAAGGCTGGGTGTGTGGAATCCTGGAGAACGGGGTGGAATTCCTGCCTGAGGGCTCTGGGCTCCCCCGGGGGGGCCGGGAGCGTTGGGCTGGGCTCTGGGGCCGCTCCGGAAGGGAACGCCCGCGCTCGCAGGAGATCGGCCGCATCTCCATCGAGATGAACGGGACCCTGGAGGACCAGCTGAACCACCTGAAGGAGTACGAGGAGAACATCGTGGAGTACAAGCCCAACCTGGAGCTGCTGGAGCAGCAGCACCAGCTGGTGCAGGAGGCGCTCATCTTCGACAACCAGCATTCCAACTACACCATGGAGGTGGGCACCCCCGGGCTTCGGGGTGCTCCCGAGGGGATTTGGGGTCATCCTGAGGGGATTTGGAGTCACCAAGGGGATTTGGGGTTGTCCTGAGGGGATTTGGGGTGATCCTGAGGGGATTTGGGGTCACCGAGGGGATTTGGGGCTGTCCCGAGGGGATTTTGGGTTGTCCTGAGGGGGTTTCGGGTCATACTGAGGGGATTTGGGGTCATCCTGAGGGGATTTGGGGTCACCGAGGGGATTTGGGGTTGTCCTGAGGGGATTTGGGGTCATACTGAGGGGATTTGGGGTTGTCCTGAGGGGATTTGGGGTCATCCTGAGGGGATTTGGGGTTGTCCTGAGGGGATTTGGGGTCACCAAGGGACTGGGACTGGGGAGGGGTCCCACAGGGATTTGGGGGTCTCAGGGTGGGCAGCAGACCCTGATCCTCCACAGCTGGGAATCCAGCTGCACGTGGAGCTGGGATCCCACAGAGTTGGGGTCATCCCAGGGGATCAGGACAATCCCATGGGTGCTGGATCCCTCCCATGGGGATCAGGACAGTCCCGTGGGCGCTGGATCCCTCCTGTGGGGATCAGGACGATCCCGTGGGTGCTGGATCCCTCCTGTGGGGATCAGGGTGATCCCGTGGGTGCTGGATCCCTCCCGTGAGGATCAGGACGATCCCGTGGGCACTGGATCCATCCTGTGGGGATCAGGGTGATCCCATGGGTGCTGGATCCCTCCCGTGGGGATCAGGGTGATCCCGTGGGCACTGGATCCATCCTGTGGGGATCAGGACGATCCCATGGGCGCTGGATCCATCCTGTGGGGATCAGGACGATCCCATGGGTGCTGGATCCCTCCCATGGGGATCAGGGTGATCCCGTGGGTGCTGGATCCCTCCTGTGGGGATCAGGGTGATCCCGTGGGTGCTGGATCCATCCCGTGGGGATCAGGGTGATCCTGTGGGTGCTGGATCCCTCCTGTGGGGATCAGGACAGTCCCGTGGGCGCTGGATCCATCCTGTGGGGATCAGGGTGATCCCGTGGGTGCTGGATCCCTCCTGTGGGGATCAGGACGATCCCATGGGCTCTGGATCCATCCCGTGGTGATCAGGACAATCCCATGGGTGCTGGATCCCTCCCATGGGGATCAGGACAATCCTGTGGACACAGGATCCCTCCCATGGGGATCAGGACGATCCCGTGGGCACTGGATCCCTCCTGTGGGGATCATGGTGATCCTGTGGCACTGGGTCCATCCCGTGGGGATCAGGACGATCCCGTGGGCGCTGGATCCATCCCATGGGGATCAGGACGATCCCGTGGGCACAGGATCCCTCCCATGGGGATCAGGACAATCCCGTGGGGATCAGGATGATCCTGTGGGTGCTGGATCCCTCCCGTAGGGATCAGGACGATCCCGTGGGCACTGGGTCCATCCCGTGGGGATCAGGATGATCCCGTGGGCACAGGATCCCTCCCGTGGGGATCAGGACGATCCCGTGGGCGCGGGGTCCCTCCCGTGGGGATCAGGATGATCCCATGGGCGCGGGGTCCCAGCCCAGGGGATCGGGACAATCCCGTGGGCACAGGATCCCTCCCGTGGGGATCAGGACGATCCCGTGGGCACTGGATCCCTCCGGTGGGGATCAGGACGATCCCGTGGGCGCTGGATCCATCCCATGGGGATCAGGACGATCCCGTGGGTGCTGGATCCCTGCTGTGGGGATCAGGACGATCCCGTGGGCGCTGGATCCATCCCATGGGGATCAGGACGATCCCGTGGGCACAGGATCCATCCCGTGGGGATCAGGACAATCCTGTGGGCACAGGATCCCTCCTGTGGGGATCAGGACGATCCCATGGGCTCTGGATCCATCCCGTGGTGATCAGGACAATCCCATGGGTGCTGGATCCCTCCCATGGGGATCAGGACAATCCTGTGGACACAGGATCCCTCCCATGGGGATCAGGACGATCCCGTGGGCACTGGATCCCTCCTGTGGGGATCA